CAACGCACACGAGCTTCAGGACAGGAAGAAGGTGGTTGATGAGGTTTGATCGTACCAATGATGGACGCAAAGGGATGTTGTGTCGGGATATTCGCTCTTCACTTCTGATTAACGGGGCCATAATACTGTGCTTTGCATACTGCTATTATCCATGTTATCAAGATAAGTATCCATTAACAACCCAAATGGCCTCAATGGAAGCATTCCAGATACCAAGTGAAGCATACACATGTAATTGGATGTCTCATTATCCAAACAACGTTCGGAGGTCTTTCTTCTCCATAAGGCTGATCCAACAAACATCCATACTCCACCGGGGTGCTTCATCATAAGCAGCCCACAGTTCTTTCGTAAATCTTTCAGCGACTTCGATTGGAGCAGGGTGCAAGCATTCTTTAAAGACACTAAGACGCCGTAAGATAAAGGCTCGCCCTTTACTGACGTCAAGCGCCATCTGTGATACCGATAAAGGGTCCGCCTCCTCCTTGGAATGTTCAAGTGGGTCTTTGAGAAGGTCCAGATAGTCAAGAATGCTCTCCATTGGCCTTGGCTTGACCTGACTACCACCGCTGATGGAGTTTGACTCTGTGTCAAGTGGTAAGGTTGGTGTGTAACGAAGGCCTGTGGCAGCACAGATATATAAAAGCGGCTGGATAGCGCAGCTGCCAGATTCGGACGGGATTTGTTCCAGAACTTCTATGAGCCGAAGTGACAAGGGTATGATGCGCTTGTGCCATAGCGCGGTTATTTCTTGTTCACCAGGGTCTCGCGGCACAAGGTGGGAATGGGGCACCAATAGCGAAGGGAACTGTATGTAAAGCTGGAGCAAGGAGGCGAGTTGATAGCCTTCAGCAACATGTAGAAGTTGAGTAGCTGGTGTGCGCTGGTCGCCAGTATCGTTCAGTGATGGTCTAGGAGAAAGCTGCAGCTGTAGCAGCTCTACCTCCAACTCTTTTGCCTGCTCAATCTCTGATGCCGTTGAAGGTGAGTGAAGGGTTCGGTCATTAGCACGATGGCGGTAGAGTCGACAAAGGCGAATCGACCGCGCGAGAAGGGTAGTGCTTAGTAGTGAGACACCAGTCCAGGGGTGAGGCTCCGCTTCGTATGGAGACTGGCTGTAGGTGTGTAAGGACTCAGACCTCTGGAAGGTGGAAGGGAGTGCGCTGACTTGGTGAGTATCCGTTCCTGGTTCTGGGTCATATATGAAGGATATCAACATATCCCAGTAGGTGAGACTCTTGTTAAAGAAATCCAGCTTGTCAGCATCAGCAGCAAACTGTTGTTGTGAGCTCCAGCGGAGTAGTGTCTTTGCCTCTTGCAGAAACGGCCAACCCACTCGCCGAGTATCCAACCAACAAATTGTCGTCCCAAGGCATATTAGTGCGAATATGATACCGGTAGGCATCTCGTCTAGGACATTCTTCTCGTTGAGCTCCTGTATCTCAGCTTGAACGCTCAGTGTTGCTGTTTTTAGCAGGTTCATGGCAGAGTGCCTCATTTGCGGTAGCCGCGCAGACAGGAAACTGGCTGACATGCTCTGAAGAGCGGCAAAGACTGGGGGAGAGCTTTGCCAAAGACCCTCCGCTGTCTTTCGATTCAGGTTGGACTTGGAGTCGAAACCGGACCATGCCGGGCATACTTCATCGAACCAACATTTTAGTAGCCGCATGGAAGAGTCTGAGTTAATACATGGTGGCTGGATTTGACCGGCTATGCCAAGATCTAACCAGGAGTTCTGTTGGGGTGACATAGCGAAGCAAAAGTCCGGTAGCCAGTTGGAAGTCGAAAAGTCGAAGTTTGGCGTCTCGATGGCAATCGATTCAAGGCCACCACTGAATTCCTGATCGAACATGTTCGTAGAATCCAAGCCAATAAGATCTGTTAAGCCCATCCATTCTGATTCTGGCCAAAGAGCTGTTTCGGGGACCGGTATTGGGTAAATCTCCTCAACAACTTCATCACGGGTGGAGGCATCAGTCCCGTCCAGAATCCCATTAGACTTCGATCGGCTATCGTTTGGAGGCTCTGGCGACTTGTTATGCTGTTCCGATGTTTCACTCGCCGTTATCTCGTGTTTGTACGACCACCTCAACGTTCGCTGAGGGTAACCGTCACATATCAAGCCCTTCTTTGCGCAATTCGTACACGTTGGCCTACTTTCGTCGCATTTGACCTCTTTGTGTCAGTATCTCGTAGACGATTTGAGATTTCGCAGCCGTACATGTCGCTGTTTGCATGAGTGGCAACCACCTCGGGAACGGCGCCCGTACGATCTCGTGTGCCTACCGCCGCCACGTCGGGGCATGGTAGCGTCCAGGTATCGAGCGTCTAGTATGCTTCCTCGTACTATTCCGTTCCCAAGCTTTGGGCAGACTTTGTCCGGCGGTCGACCGTCCGTATCAGGGAGGGGAAATTGATCAGCACACTTGATAAGCGCGGAAGCGCGGGGTTCAAAGGAGCTAGCGGGGCCGTAAACTGCTACGGTAGCCGGCATACGGAGCAAAATGCCGTGATTTCGGCCAATCCAATGAGTACGTACGTTTTACATCACCACTCGTCATCCGGTTTTGTATAATGATTTACTTCAACAATTCGGGCGCTGCCGATAGCTCTTGAAGGCCAACTGGCCGAATGAGATCATTCTTTAAACACGATCTATATATCACGGTAACGGGAAAGGAGTCGACTCGTCGGTAGAACCATGATAGAATTTCGGAGCCTGATTTCCTAGACAATCCAGCCCACTCCTAGATTTATGTATGCATGTATCTGCTTCTTCTCGGTGCATAAGCTCCGTTTTCTAATATGTCAAAAGCAGAGATTTCAAATGCCACTGTAAATTAACAAGTCTATGGCTCACGGCACTATTGATTGGCCATAACAATCTAATATTCTGAACCGTAACTATGGACAATCGCTATCAGTTTGTGTATTTACTTCTTAATTTGACCCGTTGCCTTCTTTCCCTAACGAACATGTGGCGGATTCCCACAAAGTTGCTCAGCCAGAAACAGTAAAAAGATGGAAAGCGTCCTTATCACAAGCTTCCGCTTCTTGACCATTACCAATCTAGCATTCTGGAGTTGCCGCAGTCCACGGCTTGGCAGACTACAGTAAAGATAAGCCAACGTGGCCTCAGAATGTCGAGGAAACCTCAACATTGCGTGTTCACCAGGCTTTGACTTACTTCTTTCAGCTTTCGAGGAGGTGGCGTTGCCATTTTGCTGCTTTAGCGCCGCGGGCTTGATTTCAAAGCCTCGGACTGCTTCCCGTCGCCGATGCATTTCAGCCGCATCAGCTATCTTTGATTGGTAGCCTACCACTAGTCAGCTCTGTCAATATGAATTGTTCGACGCGGCGCAAACTTGCCGTTACCAAACCCTTTTTCTCCTTGGGTGGTTAGCTGCTTGTACTGATTCTCAAAGGCTAGTAGCTTTTGCTGTATCTCCTTTTGAAGTGAATCCTTGGTAGTCCCCTCGAGTTGGAAAGAGCCCTTGGGACTGTTGATGTAAATATCGCAGCGTAAATTGGTATGGTCAACGGCAACGGGAGAGTAGGTTAGTTGATACCAGAAGGGTTTACCAGACATTGCGTGTATTGTAGTCAAAGGGAAGAATATTTGGTTTTCAATCGAACTGTGTCTTACTGGTCGCAACGAGCGGTCATAATCTGAGATCGAGTACTTCGTTGGATTTGATGTATCGTATGGCTGATTGACTGTCGTACATTAGCATCTGCAGGTAAACTATAACGACGGCTGAAGCAGGATACTTACGGATAAGCTTCCAATTGAACTTTCCACTTAGCTCAATACTGTCTACCAGCTCTGTATCTGGTCCTATATCCCCAGGCGTTCTCAGTTCTGCGCCCATCAAAGTAGCAGTAGCGGACACGTCTTCGTGACGGCTAACGTTGATATGAAGAAAGCCTTTGCTGTCCTGCTTCGTGTGGATTGGGAAGAGACTGTTTAAAGTCTTATCAAAACCGGGTAGGTTGTCGAAATAGGGAGCTTTTATGAGCTTGCCCTCCGTGTTATAGCTCCATCCATGATATCGACAGCCGAGAACGGTAGCGCTGCCAGACTGCTTCCGGGCGACCGGGAAGGCCCTGTGTCTACAGACATTGTGAAAGGACCGCACGAGCTGATCTTTACCCAAGATCATGAGAATGCGAAAGCCAGCAACATCATAGACCACATAGTCGCCGGGGGAGCGAAAGCGTCCGCGGTGGCTTATACATACCCATGTCTATTAATGAAATCAGACCACGACGTTACAGATACAGTGGATTTAACGGGCACTTACCTGGCTGAAGATTGCCCGTCGCTCAAGCTGGAATCGAACAGGATCTGACCACCATCCATCAGGCAAGTCAAAGGTTATATGTTCCGGCACTATTAGGCGGGTATGGCTTTGTTGCAGATATCGCCAGAAATGAAGAACTAGAGCAGTAACAATCAAGCTGGTGGTACATAAAAATACTGTAGAATCCATTGAGAAGACAGTACAAGAACAGAAACGCAATTCATCAAGTGGAATACATCAAATGAGAAAGGATATTCCTTACAGCAGGGCGAGAATATTTAGCACTCCAGTCGAAAGCGGCGTATGCGCAAAGTGTATCCCGAAGGCTGGTGTTCTCGTGTGCGGTTTCTCTATTAGGCAATGGAAATTACTACATCGAGGTGTCTATACGCATACGTCGCTGACTTTTGAGCGAGTCAATCATAATAATGGCGTATTTTAAAGAGATACGCGTGGTATCATCTGGCTGAAAATATGTAGATAAGGCATGCTGCGTGTAAAATTTCCTGATCCGGTATAGCGTAGGGTAGGCTTCTGGCAATGAACATCGACCTTGGATGAGGTTGGGAGATGCACATTCTCATATATGGGCATCTCAATGTGCCCTGTTATTTTAAGATAAAATCCATTAAGATCGCATCAGGTGAGCATCGGAGAAGAAAACCACCACCGCAGTCGTCCCATCGACAATTCACAATGACGGACTGGGATGTTACTCTTCCTGCTTCCTGGTACACTAGCTCGGGAATCTACAGTCTAGAGAGGCGGGCAATCTTTCTCAGGGCAAGTTCAAGAGGGATGCAGGTTTTCTTATCGGGCCGTTACTGATTGTTATGTAGTCGTGGGTTCTTCTAGGAGCCGTAACGAAGTTTCCCGAAACCAATGTTAACTATGAGCATGAGCTAGCTCAGATCGACTTCATTGTCCGTCGCGAAACTGAAGATTGGGGAAGCATTACAATCACCAAGAAACACGATGTAAGCATAAAGCAAATATTGTCTTCAGTAACCTTGCTTATTATATAGGGTACCCTTATGCGATCGCACCTAACTCCAAATGGTCTTGTTTTCTTGACACTGTCCGACGAGACCTGCTCCTTTGAAGAGTTTTTCCCTAGCTTTGAGGAGTCCACGGCCCACGCCGACTTTACTGAACTTCCACTGAGACGTCCTCTAAAGTACACCTCTCATAATAATTGGAAGGCTGCGGTTGATGCCTATCAGGAGTGTCTCCATTGTGCCTACGCGCACCCCGAGTTTGCAAAGACATTCAAGCCTGCGGGCTACAAAGTCATCAATAAACACAACTACTCGCAGCATATGGCTACTGCAACTGGTGCCGATGATGGTTTATTCTTTTTTCTTTTCCCGAACTGCTCTTTGAGCTTGTACGCGGGGGGTTTGACCTGCTGGCGCATTAACCCATCTGAGAAACCCGAACAGGCCCGCATGGAGTTCGACTACTATCACAAGGCCCCTTCCGGAAGCGATGAGTTCGAAAAGTGGTATAGCTTCACGCGAAATGTTGCAGTTGAGGATATTGAGCTTTGTGAGAAGACTCAAGTCAATCTTAATATTGGTATTTACTCGGAGGGTCTGCTGAATCCCGAGAAAGAGAATGGAGTTATATGTAAGTCTGCCCGTTATCTGAGTAGACCCAAGTCATACTGATCCACTCTGAAAGACTTCCATGGCCGTATACTTGAGCTGTGTTCGTCTCAGTTGGAGAAAGAAGAGGCTACGCAACCCCTAGCCAGGCCGTTACAGGGAAACCCAATTCCTCTTCTCCAAACATCCGGTTAGCCCTTGACAGTAATTGGGATGTCATGTTGGTAGATTATTGCACTGTTATTTTATACGAATTCACGGAGCTAAAATGGCAATGTTGGTCAATTCATTTAGTAGCGTGTTTCCCCACCTGAGCGACAGATCTAGGAAAGATCCATCGCTTTATTGCTAAGTGCAGCTCTGGATACGGGGTAGATGTTTGATGACACTGACTCGTATGTAAAAGTCAATGTATGTGTCGACTGTTATTGCTGTGCTATCTAAACCAGATGAAAAGCAAAGGTACTATCTTTGACTCGCGGTACCATTCTCCAAGTTGTTCTCATACCGAAACGTGATATCCGTCTTCACCCCAATCCTCCCATTTGGCATAACCAATACCTCCTCACTACTATTATCATCCAACCCATTCTTAATATTCGTCTCAAACGTACTCTTCGGTGCGCCAGTACCAGGGTTGCTACCACCATGAAGCTCAAGAGGCATCTGTTTGAAGCCTGAGAGCTTGCGACTGCTGGACATGCCGGAGCTGCCGAGGAGACGGGGCGCGTATTTCTTGGCGATGGCTTTGTAAGAGGGGATCGAGGCGGCGAGGATACCGATGTTGGTTTCGATTACAGACCAGTACATCGCGTCGGAGATGACCCAGGTCGAATCGGAGGAGCTGAGCATTTTGGGGATATAGGTTATTCGGATAATGGACGAGACGCAGGCGCTGTTAATGTTAGCGACGTGACAGCAACCAAGTGGTGATAGAGACTTACAAGAGTCCGAGACCCAGGATGATGGCCAGGCTGATCTTCTGTCGTCGGGGAACACGAAGCCTCGCCACCAGTGGAATCGGCAACGTATACGTCAAGATATCCGTGAAGATATTAACAGCGGCGTTGGCCAAGTAGAAAGCATTGATGTCAACACACTTCTTATCCTCTGGCAAGATCGTGATATCGTAGGCAGCGGGGACCGGACTGCACTGGAAGATGCAAGCAAGGACATTCGCACCAGCTTGGCATCCAACAACGCCCATCATGACAAACGCTGTCTTGCGTAACATCTTATCGCCGAGTCGGGTATAGAGTGCAAGTACTGAGATCTTGATGAAGCCGAGGCAGGCATTGTAGAAGATGGATGATAGCCAGACGATTTGGAGGTAGGCGATGAAGTTATCGGTGCCGCGTTTGATCACGTCTTCGTAGTGGCTACCAAGGCCATGTTGGACGGCTAAAAAGAGGTTAGCGATGGTCAGCTAACAAGCGGTAGTGGACTTACAAGCTATTGTGCAGCCGATGAAGCACCACGATAAGATCTGGAATTTGTCATTATTTGCATATGCAGTCCTAGAAAGATCAGACTTACGGCTCCGACGCAAATCAAGTCTACAACAGTTAGCCTAGCCCCAATAAGCGGATCAAAGTACTCACAATCATCAGCCCCAAGCGACCGAACAATAAACGTCCTCGCCCACAATCTCAACACCACAGCACAAAAACTAATGACAGCAAAACAAATAGCAACGGAATTAACAGTTGAGCCCTGTGATTCAGTCATGATTGCAAAGACAAACGAAAAAGATAGTACGATTCCAAAACCTCAGCTGATGCAGAATCTTCAGCGGGTTAAATGGAAGAATCCATCGAATCTCAACTGAGACAAGCAGATGGCCTTTCATTACAGCTGATGGATTATCTCCTTTGTTATGCCAATCGTTTACCATTCTGTAACGAAAGCACAGACGAAAGCCTCGCCTCGCCAAGCGACCGAAGATCTTACTGCCTCCATGGCTAGCCCTGACGGCGCCAGGCGAGAGATGAGGAGTATTTCAGGGGAAATTCATATATCAGATTTCATTGTTTGTCTTGGAGCCAACAATGCCCCCATTGTAAGTGGAGATGCGTGTAATGATGGACGCTTGGGTAGGAGTGATTGGATGCTAGGATACTCGGATAAATGGCCCGTGGGTTCGTCTGTGCGAGGATCACGACGCTAATGAACCTCGGCTTCATCTCCGGAGCGTTTTCCCCGCCCACTTGGTGTTGTTTCCTCCTTTAGACTTTTATGCTACTGAGGTTAGAGACAACGGCCCGGTGGGAGCTAAGTGTTAGTCTACCGGTTCTCTCCAGCGTGTCTCACGCTAATTATCGCCTCCTTCTACTGACTTCCTTCTCTGATATTTCATGCCGCGGATCATTTGGTAGAATCCACTTGGTCTATAGCCTGTTTTCTCAAGAGAATCTGTCATCTTTTCTCAACTGTGGATCCAAGCAAGCCACCAACAACGTCCCCACAATGAGATAAACATCACATCATCCGAGACTCTGCATGGAATTTCTCGTCAGGGGAAAAGAAGCAGAAGAATCACGGAATTTGTTCTTTACCAGAATCTCGGGAACACCGTCGTGGTATTACCGTTGTATTACCCAACCTGTTCACATGCGAATCTTGAGTAACTGTTCAAGTGGAGAAGATTTAATATCTCAGCCGCGTATGGCGATCTTGGTAGCAGATCTTGGCGAATGTGGATTAGGACCAGGATCAGAAATTTTACCACGGCTCGGAAACGCGTATCCTGCCGAATGGTATGCCCCATCTTGACAAGGAACGCTCAGCGTTCTCAGGTAAGTCGTCGTTTGATAGGCAAGCGCGCATAAGCAATTCTTGGATCTCCAGCAGGTTGCTCATCCGAGATGTGAACCGTTACATTAAGGCATCCACTTTACTACATGTTGCATAGCAGAGAAAAGCAATCACGGGCCATTGAACATCCTTGGTTAATGATCGTCAAGTTGCGCAACTCGGTTATACAGGCTATGTAACAGCGTGGGGAACAGGCCTGGAACCTGAATGAACCTGCCGTCGTGTCGATCCCTCGTACATTATCGGGTTCGCTCCCCTTTCATTGCTTATTTTTGCGTTCCCAACAATTGGTTCATTTTGTTTCCTGCAGACACAATGGCTGTGCTGAGCTTTGTGAACGTCGCCCTGTTGGGGGCTGGGTATATTGCTTTTTGCGCTTTGTGGCAGATTGTTCGCTACCGCTTTTTTCATCCGCTGAGGACATTCCCTGGGAACTTTTGGGGCACTGTTACGAGGCTTTGGATCACGTATCATAATGTCAAGGCTGACGAATGTGCTACGTTCCAAGAGCTTCACAAGAAGCATGGTAAGATTTTCAGGATCAGTGAGTGATGCAGGCGCTCACACTTTTCAGGACCTGTCATCAGGATCACGCCTACAATGTTGCTCGTCAGTGACGCGACGCAACTACCAAAGATTTACAACCGTCACGCCAACAAATCGAAGCACTACATCACTGGAAGCTTTGGCAAAGATGAATCTCTCTTCAATATGCAAGATTCCGTCATGCACGCTAAGTACAGGAAGATTGCAGCCCCTCTCTACAGCTTAACCAACATCAAGAAAATGGAGCCGTTGATCGACTCCAACATTGAGAATTGGATGGCGCGTCTGCAGCGAGAATTCGCTTCTACCAACAAGCCCTTCGACTTTGCGCCTTGGGCTGTCTTCATGGCCTATGACATCATTTCAGAAGTTGGCTTTGGAGCTCCCTTCGGGTTTGTCAAAGAAGGCAAGGATGTTGAAGGTCTCATTCAGGGCTTTCACGATGGCCTTACGCCCTTTGGTATCATGGCGAGGCTGCATCCCTTCACCAACTGGGTCAAGAGTACTTTCCTGGGTAAATACATGGTTGCTAGTCCTGAGCAAGACTCTGGTATTGGAACATTGATGAGATTCCGCGATCGTTTGATTGATCAGCGTTTCAAGGATATTGAGAATGGTGCGACAGATGGACGTGTCGATTTGCTTCAAACGTAAGCTGGCTTGTTTCACATCTCACGCTAAATGCTGACATAGATCTACAGCTTCATCGAGGCTAAGGATGAGGATGGCAATCCTTTGGATATCAACTACATCAAGGCTGAGATTCTTCTCGTCCTTCTCGCTGGCGCTGACACAACTGGAACAGCCTTCCAGGCCATGATGATCCAAATCCTGACCAGCCCAGCTGTGTACAAGAAGCTAATGACTGAGATCGACGATGCCACTGTCGCTGGTAAACTTTCCGAGATGCCCCAGTATGATGAAGTCGTCGAGAACTGCCCCTACTACATTGCCTGTGTCAAGGAAAGCATGCGTCTCAACCCTTCAGCACCAAACATCTTCCCCCGCATCGCTCCACCAGGCGGTCTCGAGATCTGCGGCCACTTTGTCCCTGAGGGTACAGAAGTTACTTGTAACCCTTGGCTCGTGCACCGTGACCCCAACATCTACGGCGAGGATGCCGAAGTTTTCAAGCCTGAGCGTTGGTTGGACGCGGACAAGGCCAAGGTCTACAACAAGTATAGCATGGGATTTGGCTATGGTGCTAGAGTCTGTTTGGGCCAAGATGTTGCGCGTATGGAGCTCTACAAGGGACCGTTGCAGTTCTTGAGGAGCTTCAAGGTTGACTGGGTTGATGAGAAGAACAGGGGAACGTATGTGGTTAAGGGTGGTGTTAGCTACTTTGAGGACATGAACATCACGATCCAGAGACGAGAAGTTACAGCATAAATTGCTTAGCTGCTGTGAATAAAACCCCACCATGCTTCCTAACCTCACCACCCAAGTGAGCTATTCAGTCCATCCAACCCCACCTTCTCAGAATCTTCTTGATGTTCTAGTATTGCCATCAGGGAGCTTTGAATACTGTATATCGAGTGCAAAAAGGGCAATAGAGAAACCTTGTATAACTCCGAGCTTGTATAGTTAGAGTAGAATGTCCCACTTGGCCGTTAGTTCTGTTGGTTAGCGATAGTAGCGCTAATACTTGAAGTGACCGTTGTCGCAGTGGTCAGGAACAACAGGTCATCTTCAATGTCCCTCTTTCCTATGAATGCCAATACAAGGTAGCGGTCAAATCCCGCTTCTTGACGTGAAAATACTTATTCTCTTGTTTTTCCTCTTTACCAAAAATGGCTCTTAGGTTGAGAATGAGTTCATCGTAATCTTGGACCAAGCACGAGCGAATGTTATGTCCGAAATATTCCTTGCCGCTTTCCAGGAAGACAGACTAATTTACTAGGCTCATTGTAAACTTGAGACGTGTGTTGTCTTGTTGTCGGTATCGGAAGGTTATCGGTATTCTTATGCTGATATTGAGAGGCAAATAAATGAAAAGCTGGCGAATCAGAGCTTTTATAGATTGGTGCCAGGTTGCGAATGAAGATTTAGACTGATTGACTGTCCCGGGTAAGATGCAATATGATCAGCGTTGGAAGCCAGGTTGAATCTTGTCGGGAGCACGAGCCTCTTATTTATTCAGCATTGGAGAAAGCCACAAAGAGTACAACTTTTGTATCTATTAAATTCTGTTATTCACGTGTAAAAGCGTATATTGAGGGAAAAGATTATCGCGTTCTTATTCATCACCTGTGTTTGCAGCCTAAAGCCTAAGCTTAACGGCAGCACTTATCCCTATACTTATTCACTTTGGTCCTACGGCCGACCTCTGTCATGAAGACACAGCATGTCAACTATTGTGGCCCTAGCATGATGCCCAAGTCGTTTGCTAGATGTGCTATTGACGGTTGAGAACTGAAACTGTGAGCTTATATCAATACCCAGAACCAAAACTACTCATTACACAAAATTAGATTGAGTTAATGGACCCTACAGCTGATACTCAGATTATGTGCCTAACACATTCTGCAATCACAGATCAATAAGAAATATTATTTAGAGACCCTCCGGGTATAAGTATTAAATGTGAAGGCCAAGCTTTACTTACAATGTTCTAATAGTATCGCAAAATATCATTGAGTATAGTAGTATTAATTCGAATAGACCGGTACTCTGACTTAGTTGACTATTTCAAGATGCTTAGGATCCTACAATCCATTCTACAGACTAATTCAGAATGTCGTTTTCTCCCAAGAAAAGATGTCATAGCGCTCAAGATCCACATGGCAGGTATAGTACTCGCCAGACTTTCCATCCCCTTTAAAAATGATATCTAATGCAGACTTAAGCGCAGTCTCGCCCTTGACATATTTGCGACAAAGTGTGGACAGGAAGTAATCAACGCCTTCCACGGCTGTAAATGTATTCCTCCCTACAAGAGGCATCGCGTGGTTCCTCGTTTTGTGTCTTCGGGAGATTGTGAATTACTTCTCCTGACAGCTTAATATACAAGTAATGTTCCTAACTGATCGTTGGAGATTGGGGAGACTTTGCGAGAGCTGTATGCAAAATTATGCAAAATTCTTGTATTTTATTTTAATTTCTTTTTCCTTGCTGTCAGCCTGATGAGGCCATCGAGCTTTCAACTTTTTATCTGAAGGCTTAAACAATGAGGCCCCATGCAAAATTTATAGGTAGAATGAAGAGCGAGATCATGAAGCGACAATCGCCAGTTAAAGTCTGTGATTAACTCTGTCGCAGCACCTGTGACAAGACGTCTACATTGATTCAGCGATCCAGCTGATGAGTAGATGCGGTGCTGTTGCGCTTCAATCCTGACTCACCTTGATCGTCAGCTCCGTCATTTAGCTTATTTGTCGAAATTTATATGGCCAGCCTTGAGCTCAATAAACAGTTTCAACGTTTTCACTTACGTTTATCAGTGTTCACACCAATATAGCAGTAAAGAAAACCTGAACGTCGAGATTTATACAAACTCGCTCACACCTCATAATGGCAGACATAATAGGCCCCTTCCCGAATAGAAGCACAGTATCCCAACCAAGAAGGTCGAGGGCTGGGACGCGCTCCGCACAGCCGTAAAAGAAGTTTATGGTGGGGGATCACGAATCGGTGGAATCACTGGCTTGTGCGGAAGTGAGAGTGAATATAGTCTTCAGGGTCTGGAAGGAAGAGTTTAAGAACTTGCTGGAGGAGCTCCAAAAGAAAGATATCGTGGAGGCGATAGGTAGAGGGCCATGATGGCATGAGCTTTCGAGAAACTTGGAGTATCTACTCGCGATGTTACCCAAATAACAAGACATGTAAGTTTTTTCAGGTCACCAGGTGAATGAATAAGGAAATTTGAAGGTTGCTCTTGGTGTGCCTTGGCAGATACTCCCTTATATGGTTCCCATCACATTGTTTAGGGGAAGTACTGTCATGGCTTGTTACAGTATGTGTTATGGCTCCACGCATTGGACCTGGCTATCGCAGCTCAATAAACGATCGATCTAATAGTTGTCAATCATTTGACTGCTCAAGCAGCCTATCTTGCTAACAAATCTGCATAAAAAGCATCAAATAACTTCGCGAAACTGACTAATGGTGCTAAATCAATGCCTGAAAGTACAGCTCAACAGACATATCCAAGGAACAACATGTTAAGGCCAAGACTCAATAAAATGGTCAATCAAACAACAGAGGAAAACACCAACATGAAAAACATAAACCGCCCCCTGCTCAAATGATGTTTGACCTGATATACTGCAGCCACTGCGTCACCGTTTGGGGCTGCCTATCAATCCGCAGCATGCCTTCATGAAGGGTTACGAGCTGACCTCTACCATTTACCTGGGTGAACTGGTAGAATTGAACGCTCTTGCCAATGCACAGCGCACCCCACAATTTATCCACCTCTGTGCTTCCAAGGGATCTGAGGTAGTTCCTCAACTGAATTTCGGCAGCGTGAAGTGCAGTATCAGAATTCGGGTATGAATATCGCTTAAGCTCAAGAACGAGGAAGTTCAGCCTATGGTGGTTGCTCAAGCGACAAACCTCGATATCGACCCTTCCGCCCGCGATGTCAGCTTCATGGTTGATCCTAAAACCTTCATACACACTGAAGACATCCAAAAGGATGACACTCCATGCGTCACGAACGTCGGATTCAAGTGAGCCTCGATTGATCTGCGCGATAGTGTAGTCGCCGTCCGGGATATACTGCGGATCCATGTACTGTAAACAGAGTTAGGATTATGCTCTTTGGGTTAAAATGATATCGAAGGCATACCGTATTCTCAACATTCTCCTGCGCTGGAAGGTAGGGTGGGCGTCCACGAGGCATTGCTGAATTAAGTAATTGAGATATATATAAGATGAATATCAGTATGAAGTAAATAGTACTTGAAAAGATCCGTTGGGTTAAATTGAATGAATGTAATGTGTAATGGTGCTCTTCCTTCTTCTTATTTATAATTAATAGGTATATATCTAAGCGCTTAGCTATTGCTAAAGGGTCTCATCTCTTTAGCCAGTGAGCGATTTAATTGTTTCTATTAATACTCGATATTTTCTGCTCGGCCAACATAGCGGACTAGAAACACTTTGTTGGTTCTAAGTCACAAGGGGACACAATCTCTCTTGCGTCGTAATGGGCGGCTACGTATGTTGAAGATACTCAAAATCGGACCACACAGCAACTCAAAACCTCAGTTAGGCGCTTAGGAATTCGAAAGATCCGCAGGCATATAATCACCCCAGACCTAGAGGGATAGCCATCAACACTCGTAATTTCAACGAACGGGTCTCTGCCGCGGCTGCGCTAAATCAAGTACCCACCACGCGTTTCAGGTGGGCGGCTGAGCAAAAAACGGGCGCTAAGCGTAGGCGGTACGTATCTGCCTCATAATTTAGGTACCAGCGGGGTTCCCACTTCGCAGTTGCGGTCTTTGGAGGTTCCCAACTTTACACTAAACATAACAACCATCTACCCAGCCATGAAATACTGCACGCTCTGTGGAATACCTTTCACCAGGCGTCTTAATGAGGACTGGATTGAAAATGTCCGGGCAGGTAAGTAGCCTGACCATAATTGAAGCGCGAACCGTACAATCCTGACACGTCCAGTTTGGATTGAAGGCGACAGCTGGAATCGCACGGCCGTTTCTGGCGTTGGGCGATGGGGAGAATTCGATGATATCCCTTCGGTAACTGTCCCAACAAACCCCCAAATTCGCCACAATGGCCAGTCTGGGCCGGGAAATACCATAGAGGTGGACTTAACGCCTGACGACCCAACATTGTGCACGGATCCCGATGGTGGTATAGCTTGGGGCTATGGCTTCCATGAATCGTGCTGGTCCATATTCACCAAAAATTACACACCAAATCTTGACGCTCTTTTTGCAGCCTGTCTTTCTACGCCAACTGGCGCGACGACCCTGCTTGACTGGGGCCATGATTACGGTGGCGCTTCTAAGATTGAACAAATGTTCGATATGCCTGTGAGAGCTAGTTGTTTCCGTTCCCTGCACGATATACCTCATGTCTTTCGATCGGATCCATATCAAGTTCCTGGCCTCATTTATGCCATCGAGGGAGCTGTACGCCTGCAAACCGACGCTTTCTTGAGTCGTCTGGAACCAACAGTGACCAGCCTGAAAAGTGATAGCTTCTCTCGCTTAGTTCCGGAAATTCTGCAATCGATCGTTATCCTCTTACCAACATCCGACGTTCACTCTCTACGGCTTGCATCTCCTGTCTTTGCAACCTTAGAACTGCCTGAAAGGTTCTGGGCATCACGCTTCCAACCTGGCCACGAGTTCGAATACTTGCCTGAAGTTCATGACCGGTCTCCTCAATCTTGGAGGGCTTTCTATCATTCCCTTAAGATATGGACACAGGGGATCCCAAGTATGGTCAACCGTCGGCGGGTATGGGGGCTTGCTAAGCGTCTTCAAGCCACTCTTACCCAGATGGACGGCGTTTCTTGCCAAGGATCTCCTCTAAGCACATGGCACGAGACTACGCCTGATGGCCCAGATAATGCCACCTCCGAAGCTAATTTTCCATGGCATACAGCTTCACGAGCTGTTGTCAGCCTAGGAGACAGCTTCTTCTACGGCTCTCGGGTCCTGAAGGCTCGTGTTCTGTACTTTCCAGAGCCCATGAAACTTCAACAGATGTCTGTATCATTTGTTGATACAGCAGCTGGAAGATTCATCTCTGGGTTCACTCTGGTTGATAGCCATGATCAATCTTATGCTGTGGGTTACCAACATGAGGATTTGATGCTACGCATTCTACTTGATGAGCCGATCCGTGGATGGGAACTCGCCATGGACTTATCTGGGATCACAGGGATTGCTGCAGTTCATAGCGATGGAAAACTCAGCTCCTGGGCAGGAGAGTCAGCAGGAATTCCAAGGTGGCGATTAGAAGGAACCCAAGCAGTTTCTGCAGTCAAAGCTGAATTCGATGTAAGTTTCTACCCCGCTACAAACTTGAGTACTAAAACTTGCTAGGCATTCAAACTTGTCTCTCTTAGTCGTGACAGATCACCCAACCAGCAGAACTGGCTGAACAACTGTCTGTGGTATCCTGAAGTACCTAAAGAAGGGCTGCTATTCAACGGAAGCATAGGCGGTGAGCCAAAGCCCGAATACAATCTCCCAGTTACCACCGTCCTTTTTGGCCAATCAGATGGGCGATATCTGTCGGATCTGTCGGATCTGTCGGAAATTGTTGTATGGATCTTTGACATTTGCCATATAGCGGGGATTGAGTTTCACTTCACAGACAGTTCTTACGATCGACATCTTGGTTATATTGGCCCATTCGACGAAAGCTATCCCGTTAGGAGGAACTTCCCCGACTCTCACGATAGCTCAGTTTCTTTCGCAATTGATGGTCCTTCTGGTGAGAGATTGACAAGTATTGACGTGCAGACGAGGGGATCACATGTTGTTGGGCTGAAGGTACTCATAAAGCCTATTGTTGAAAGAGAACCACTGCTAAGACCGATAGCTTCGAACCAATCTCGACCGAATCGTCCAAACGCCTGACTACCCTTACGGAACAGACAAAGGCTGGGTCACTGTTCACGCAAAGGGATCCAAAATTATTGGCATGTTCGCTACTCTTGTATGTATTCTTCTTGTGCAAATACGGTTTTATTAGTTTGTTTTATTAGTTTCTACAAATCAGTACTGACATGAATTTATAGGCTCGGCCTTTCTGGGATCTTGGTCTTATATCGATACAAGAATAAATTACCGAGAGTCAGGAAAGGCGTCAAATATTAAGGATTGAATTGAACGAGACCAGCGCGGTGAAATATGCCATTACAAGAACTGTGAAGTAAATAGGTTTCACCTTACTTTCGCATTATCCAAGCCAGCGTTGGGCTTTTACCTTGTTATCTTCCAATCACGTATCTCCAAGGGTGGGAGCTCAAAACAATTAATGAATTAATGCTTACCAATCATCTACGCGAGTGAAATTGAACAAATTATATTACATGCCTTTTTGTATAGTTCATTCGCTGTGGGAAATGAGTGCACAGCAGAAACGAGTCTCCGATCGAAGAGTGAATGATTTGTATTGATAGAACATTCAAACCGTCGTAAATGGTGTTGGTGAGTACCTGACCAAGCTCCAAAGTACCAAGGCTATCGTAAGTCTTAAAGCTGTAATGCGAATGTCCATTTTCATGAAGATAACGAACAGAAAACGTGTTTCTTCGACGATAGATGAGATATACGGCCATATGTCCACTAGATAAAATATGTATGAAGGTAGTTGCGTTTGCGGTCAGCTCGAAACGCAGTGGTAAGTAGACCTTAGTAGAATAAGACAATTCAGAGAAGGTATATCGCAAGGCGGTGCTTGTTTTATGGCATAGTGAGAAGATGTGAAGTATAAGAGAAAGGGGGGTTTTGTAAATGTATAGACTTGAACTCTGAACCTATTTACGAGAAGTCCTGGGACTAACAGACCAGCGAGGATAGTAGTGCGTCCAGACTCAGTATAGGTACTGGCCGTAAACAGGAACATAGGCGTAAGTGAACGCTGGTACTAGGACAGGTACAGCATAAGTCACCGGCAGACTCTGGGCATAGTAGGCAGCCGTAATTCCCTGCTGGTAACCCGCCATATGAGCAGCGATATACGGGTTGTCCTGCAGTGAAGAGACACCACCACTCGAACTTGGTGTTGGCTGGCTGCTCAGCTCGCTCGAGGGGAGGGGCTTTGGTACAGCACCCTTTTGATACCCCTTTGGCCGGTACTTAGCCAGACAAGCTGAGTTCTCTGTCCTTACCGGATGGTACACCACATCAAACTCCCCAGGCGCAGCAGAGTTGGTGATAATACGTACTGGGCCGGGTGACCCAGACATATAACCCTTGTTCAGACAGAACGGGTACTCTTTCCAGGGACCCGACGACTGAAGAGAGAGGTTCTCTCTGTTGTAAAATTGTCGCGGGTATATGCACTGGCTTGACATAGGGCTGGCTGGAATCTGCTTTGCCTGCTCCCTGACTTGGCTTGCTGGGATTTTTCGGTACCACTTGTCCAAGATCAAGTCAGAGAGCGAGTAGTAAGAGCAGTCTGACCCTGTCTCCCAGGTATATTGTGAAGATGGAGGGGATGGCAATCCTCCTTGGTTATTAACCTGGTCCAATTGACTCAGCGCTGCAGAAGTAAGAGCAGAAATTTTTAAATAGAGATATGTCGCTTAGAAAAGTGTGAAGGCGAAGGTAGGATGAAAGTCCGATATAAAGAAAGTGTGGAGATATAAATTGAGAAACGACAAGAGTCAAAGTCTGTCGCTGTTGCTGTGTCAAAATGTTGCGTAAATGTAGCCGAAGCTTGATGATATAGGAATGAAGAGAAGTATGTGCGCTACGCTGATATGTAGGCCAAAGTCTGTCGACTCGCTGGGCGAAGAGAGTGAATGTGTAAGTCGTTGACAAGAGAAACATGCGATAAAGAGATAAGATAGCGTTGTCAGATAAGCTTAAGCTGAGAGCAGAAGACAGAGACTTGAGAGCAAACAACTGAAGAGTATGAAGAAGGGAAATTCAGAATCTAGGATGAAGAGTACAAGGGGGTTTTATAGCCAGTATCCGTTAGAGTTTGAGAAGAAGGAGAGTACCAAGCCCTGTACTCTAATGATTCAAGAAGATCATGGAGGACGAAGGAATCATCCATTGGGTCTCATTCAAACTATCTTCGCGAACAAGGTGCGGCTGACATTGTGATATGGTTCAGTTAAGGTTGGTACTGGTCACCGTGAATGAACTTTCCCATCACGAACGAGAAGTGGGCATATCAAAAGTCAAAATTACCGTTATTAAGTATTCTGGTTGTTTTGACGAGTCTAGCGTTGAGCCGCCTAAGCATTTCAGCAGGAATGACAAGTCGGGAACGAGTTAAAGGAAGATCCTGACAGAAGGACGAATGTTGGATCAGGTCGTTGGAGAAATGCATGAGCACTGTGCACCCTCCCTTCAAGGAAATGCCCCTCTGTTAACTTTGCCGTTCGACAGCGTCAAAACCTCAAGGAATCACCTGGAACCATATATCGAAGCTCAGTGTGTAGTATAAAAATAAGCATTGAAGTAAGACGCGCGATACAGTCCCCAGATTGGTAGCTTCGGTCACAAGATAATACAGAAAAGAGGGGAAAGATGTAATTGCAAGATGTATTCCGTGTGACATTATTTGACGCTTCATGTTCCTCCAGACACCCAAAACTAGCTTTCACGACTGGACGAGTATCTAAACTTTGTATTGAATAGCTTGAATTTGTTTCAGTCACTTGTATGTCAACACTCGAACCCCTTCGCCTGCATAGTAAGAGATCCCCCTGTATAAGTTTTGGTATAGACCATGTTAGACCTATGAGACTCACGAGTCCAGCGGAAAGGATTAACTAGCCTTGATGAGGTAGGTAGCTAGGGTCTATGTTGACTTGTTCTCAAATGGATGTCAATCATGCTTTGCTAAAGCGTGGCTCATGTTCGGTCGCACGAAACTTTATGATATCGCCTCAGGGTTATTATGACTGGCTTATAAGGTCGATCAGCAGGCAGAAAGGCTTATTCCTGTTTCACAAATTGATGCTTAACAATAAAGTTGATAAAAGTACACTAGCGTGTAATTGTTCAATAGTGTCCCATCTTTCATATTAATTGGTGTATCGTACCTAATGGAAGACAGACTTTGAATGCCCAATATGCAATGATCTTGCATCGCCAACCTTTGGTCCCCTCACGCCTTCTCTGGCCCCTGAGCATATTGCCTCCAAAGAGGGTTCTCCAATAAACTCTCCATCGCGCTGTTCTCCGTACCAACGAATACCTCAACACCAGGACCCGCCTCAGGCCTATCAGGCAGCATTATATGCATCGAGTGAGTCACTCCCACTGAGGGCGGTCGAATAGCCTTGATCCGACTCCCCAGGGCAGGACCCCATTGGATATCATAAAAAGGGAACTCTCTCCAGGACGAGAACAGGGCATGGTTACCAGGCATGTCAAGGAAGATGGCGGGTATCAACCGTGACACGTTACCCAGATTGTCCACGAGGGAGCTAATGGTGGCGAGATACGTCTCCTTGGACTTGTTCACAGCACCTCGGACAACAAGAGCTATATCTGCTAGGCTGACGTCGTCATGTTCTAGAATCTTCTCGATGTCCATGACGGCTGGTGCGAAGCCAAGAATGTTGCCGAGAGTATGTTTGTGAATTGGTTTGCCAGCACGACGACGAGCATCCAGTGCTAGACCAACCATAGATGGACCAGTTGGCTTGTCTTCGCCCTCCTTCTTCCCATGCTGGGCTATCATGGTGCATCGCCAGACGAGGGCAGTCAAAGCATCGGTCGTGGAGATGTAGGAAGAAATGTCGTCGGATTTGAAAAGCTTAGCATTTCGAGGCGCACATGCTTCCTTGAGTTCTTGGATCTTCTCAGGTGAGAAGTAAAAGATGTGGCCGTGGTGAATAGGTGAAGCTAGCTTCGGTGGGGGGCCCTCAGGTGTGAATGGTACTTCAATGTACTCGGGGTGATCCTCTGGTTTGCCAACGATGGTATCAGATGGCTTCATCAGCTTGGCCCTATCATCGCAGGGGATTTCGGCTGGGTTGGAAATAGGTAGGCCCTGAGCTTTGCGGACTTCCTCAGCGAAGATCTCGGTGAACTTGTACGCCGTTGTTCCATCAATGTAGGCGTGTAGGAAGAGGAAGTTGAGGAGCAAGCCCCCCTTGATGAAGTTGAGTTGCACCATGGTAGCGTTCAATCGATCCCCAGCACGAGGCCATTCCCCGCCTAGACCCCGTTGACAAACAACATCAGGATCCAGAACAGAAGTAGGATAACCCCGGCGCTTCAACTCCTCAAAACAAGGAAAGTCCTGCTCACGAAGGTCCTTTACAAGAAAATCATGTTCAATCTCATCACCACAGTGACGAAGCTGCAAAAGTCCAGTCTCAAGATACTCAGCAGTAGGAACAGCCTCACACCCCGCAATAGGCGTGCGCTCCTTGAACGCCGAATATGCCCTCTTGAGAATAGCCGTTATCTCTTCAGCATTGTAGCTCTCACCAAGCTCAAAGTGCAAAAGACTTCGGATCCATCCCATAGGGCCAATCTTCTCAGTGGGAAGTAAAGGGGGAGCGAGGTCAGGAAGTGGTGTGACCTGTTCGGTAGCGACGGCCTTGGAGTGGAGAGCGGGTTGGTCAACGACCAGAACCTCTGTTCTAGCGGGAGCCATGATGGAGGATGGGAAAAGGTGGGTATGGTTTGGTTTTTCGTTTGTTTTGGTGGAAGGGGGCCTGGCTTCTAATACTTGGATAAACGAAAAGGTTTTTTTCACAGGCGAAGGTCGCTACGCGGAGAGATGGACTGTTTGGGTCTTGGGGATTCGTGTTATCTATGTGTGTTTCAGGACGTGCTGCCGAGGTGGTTACATTGTTGGTTCCGAGTATGAGGATCGACGGTGTTGGTTGAGGAGGTTAGACGGGACCAAGCTTTCTTGGGCAGCTCGCTTGTGACTGCAGCGTTGCGATAGAGCTTTACATTCATTGACTGACCAACCTTTCGGGTCAGGGGTGAGAACAACCTAACAAAGCCGAATGTCTAAATAGCCAATAAGATCCAATATTTCTATCTGAGGAACCCGAAGATACGTTGTATCGAGGAATTGCGTGTTCTTGACCCTTTAAGCGACAGCCATAATCATGTTTCAATGCCAACAGACCTAGACAAGGAAGCATCAGAAGTGGAATCCGGTCTAGTGGACCAGGTATCGAACTCCAAAAACGAATCCTCGGACCAAATCCGACATGCCGGAGCCGTTAGTCCCAGGGTCGCTTCGACTCCTTTACCCCTTCGAGAAGCTAAAGCCGTGATAGCCTCTAAATACAGATAACGCGCACCAAACGAACCCTTCAATGAAACATTACAAGCATTTCCGTGGATCCCAGCGGGTCCTGTAAACGGTTCAACATGGACCAAGGCCTGAAACGTGCTCTTGTTCGGCTATAAATCCCCGTAATATCCGACCGGAAGTACGTCGCGGTGACAGGGATGTACTTCCGGGTGGTGCCATTTCAGAGCCGCAAGTTTCGTCTTGGCAGTTCATCTCCCGCTCTGATAAGACTCAGACCTCAATATGAGAATCACAACTCCTAACACCAAGAGTTTTTGGGACCGGAAAGCAATACAGACTGGTTTAAGAGGAATGGGTTGTTTTAAAGCATGGTTTAAGTAAATTAGATAGTAATCGCCCGAATGCCAGAGGCCCCTCGAAGGATTTCTGATGCTCCATAGCAGCCAACAAAAGGTAGCATTGAAGTGGACTCTAGCCCCGTCAAGCCTGCACCGAGTTTTCACAAATGGCCTGTTTGGCTTCATTCCGCGTAAGTTAACGAAGAAAAGAACGAGCCCGTAACGGCTAGAGATTAACATTGAAAGCATTACCTCTGGAAAAAGAAACGATGCTGAGCTCCTTCTTGTCCCTGTATCTCACCATGGGGATTTTAGCTAGATTGATAGAAGCCCATTTAACTAACCAACAGCCCATGGCACAACTTGAACCGTATTTTGCTTGTGAATTTCTGCATGCAGCTAGTCTGACAACGGAAATATGGCAGTTGACCCTAATATTGTAGCCATCTTTGGTCCACCGCCGCAAGGGCTGGATCTTGAGAAGAATGTCATCACCACCTACAATGTTGTCGTTTGTGTTGTTCTCGGTATCGCTGTCACTGTTGTCGCGTTGCGGTTTTACGTGAGGAACATGAAGTCAGCGAACATCGAGATGGATGATTGGGCTGTGTTGGTCAGTCTGGTAAGTGCGTTCACTAAAATTGTCGGGTTCTTGCTGACGCGATGCAGTTTTGTGCTTCAGCTACTGTCGCTATGACAATATTGGGTAAGCTGGTTCTGCCAATGCCATCCAGTCCTTATGTTAATGGATAATAGCGGGAGAGCATGGCTCTGGAGCTCATGTTTGGTCAATCAAGCTCACCACTCTCGTCGACGTCTTCAAGGTGCACCCACTACCAAAGCTCTGCCAATTCGACGCTTACCAAACTCAGATTGTCTACGCCGAACCCTTCGTATACGCCCTCGCCGTCACATCCGTCAAAATCAGCATCCTCCTCCTGTATCGCCGCCTCTTCCCCCTCGGCATCGACAAAAACCGACTGTACACAATAATGTTCTGGATAGCGACCTTTTTAACGACCGTCTACCCATTTATCCTCTGGATCACCATGCCTTTCGCCTGTAAACCCGTCAGTCATTTCTGGAATCAGTATCTTGGCGCTAAGGGCAAATGTATCGAGGTCAAATTGTTCTTCCTTGTTCTTGGAATCATGAACATGATGAACGATATCATCATTCTGACTGTTCCGATACCGAGAATTTGGACACTTCATATGAACAATAAGACCAAGATTTCTATCATTTGCATCATGCTTCTTGGCAGCTTGTAGGTGATGTTACAATACGGTAATGAGTTTCCAGCTGACGTTCTACAGTGTCTGTGTCGCCAGTATCGCGCGAATATACTACCTCTGGGGCTTCTTCCAAAACCTCGACGCGACATGGTGGATGGGCCCATCATTCGCGTGGTCCAGCCTCGAGCCCTCCGTTGCAGTAATATCAGCTTGTCTCCCCACACTAGCACCATTATTTCGCATCAAGCGCATTAATTCTACTTCACGTGGTACACCATCAGGACCAACTGATCTATCCAAATCTGGTTCAAAACACTTCCAACTCTTCAGTGTGAACAGGACGAAAGGAGGTGCTTTCGGTAGTGATGATGATGAGGTCGAATTGACATACGATGTTGGGAGAGGAGGAACCGGTGATGGGTCAATTTGGAAGAATCAGGGGGGCTCGGCTGCTGAACAAGGGATTGTTGTCCAGACGCAGGTTTCGGTGACGCATCAAGACAGGAAAGGCCGTACTAGCACTGATTAGACATCTATTTCTCTCTAAAAGTGGGTCAGAAGGTGTCAGCGCTCTCAATAACACCACTGTATCCTCTATCTCTGTTCTCTCAGATAGCGCCTGGTTTTCTATGACTCGCACAACAAAATAGTGGTCCCGACAGTGAGTCAGGGGACCAAGCCATTGCATTGCCACGTAAATAACGTACCCTATACTCTACAATTTGTATTTTGAGCCTTATAATTCTATCAAGGTTCAAAAAACAATATGTTCACCCGGAACAGACCTGTATAGTACAAATCGAAATATCATCACTAAGAAAGAGAAGTTTTGCACAATTTTCATTTACTACCAACAACCCATGTACTAGCGAACAATCTGTGTACACACTCTAGAAAATCACCAATTACCTACCCCGTATCCCACCAGATGCAAAAGCACCGCAACCCAAACAAAACCACGACCTGCCTGTTTTCCCCATTGCTTACCCTTCGTAGATCATGCTAAAAAGCATCTTGAACCCCCAGTTCCCCACGTTTCCCCCTGGCCCCACAATCACCAGCTGTTTAGACCGCGACGCCCTCCAATAGCCTGAATCTCAACCAGCTCTTTCTCTAGTCGGTTAATCTCGTGCTTGTAACCAGACCGCATAATTCCATTTAGTCCTCGATGGAATTTTTGTTGCGCTTTCTCCTGGAGCACAACGATCTCCCGCTCAATCTCGCCTCGTCTTCTAGCCTTGGTAAGCTCTTCCAAGTACGTCAAATATCCCTGAGGGACCATGACAAGAATACCACCATCCCTCTTCACACTGCTGGGGTTCTCACCGCGCTCTTTGGCTACCCAGTAGTTAAGCTCATATAGGCGTGTCTCACGCAGGTCACCGTGGCCTAGTCGGCCGACCATGTGGCTGCCATCATGGATGGCCTGCTCATATGTTGCCGCTGTCAGAGGGTCCAGGTGCAGATGCTCCACGACGAAGTTTCTTCGGCCGTCTGGAGTGAAGAATGTCGCAGTACGTCTGCGTGCCATGAAGGCAGGCGGTCCAGCCATGTGGGCTGGTGGTTCAGTGGTGTACACTGGTGGATCAGCCTTGTAAGCCGGAGATGATGGTCGATCCTGTGTCGATTTCTTGTCACCGTCCTTCTTCATCCACTGCTGAACTTGATCAAACGGCATGTTGCTGTTGATTTGCGAAAGTTGTGAAAATGTGTAAGATAGAAAGGTAAAGAGTTTGAAGGTTTGTGTGTGTTGAGAGAGGTTATGCTCTGGGATGATTGCTAAGAAAAGCTTGGTGAGGAGGAAAAGAAACTGCCATAGTCGGGGCGGAAATCAACTATTTATACGGTATCTCTCACGACTGGAGTTCCTATTACTTCGATTATGTTCATCTCAAGTCCAGGTATTCAATTGATTTGGAGCAATATGTACCACCAAACTTATTCGCAAGTCAGATGAACTTGCTGGTGATATCCTCATGATGTACGGCCATGATGTACGGTATGCCGAGGAGGAAGAGCTCCAGTTCGCTTGAAACGACGGAGACAGCGGATGAGTTCTGTTGCTACTGTTTAGAACTTCGGGCATCATTCTCTGACTAACAGTCATGTGTGTTGTACATATATATGGATAGTTGTTCAGCGTACTGTTGTTAGAACAACCTAGAGGCTTATCAGCTGAGCAATGATTATCTTATCAGCTTATCGCTCGCGGTCTTGGCTCAGGATTGTTTCTTTACAGAAGAACAATGAATGACACACATGCAAATAGTCCTCTCTTACTGAAGATAATATCTGATAAAACAGATTTCATGATAATGTGTTATCAACTAGTACTTTTTTAGATCAGATTATCGATTTTAGAGTTTGGCGTGACATGATCAGCCCCAAGTGGCTGCAGCTAATGGATCGGATCGCGTTCCCCTCTCTGATGGTCCTCCCTTGAGATCCCCAGCTGCTCTCTCATCTCAACGTTAGCAAACGTGCTCAACCCTCTCGATCGCTGTAACTTTTACAAATTTTTGCTATCATTCTTCGAAATGTCAGATCGATTTGACAGCTTCCCGCTCATCAGCCTCCTGAGTGGCTGGGGAGTCGTCAGGTAAGCCCCATGGCATTGAAATGCAGCATTGAACTGACTGGTTGTTCCTTGCACAGCGGCCCTGGATTATTGTAAGTTCCCCCGGAATTCATCAATCGTCCGTCAACTCATTGGATGCAGCATGCTCCGCAGCTTGGTATCCGGCATCTCAACCGCAACAGTGGCCGGCGTCTCGAGCGGCATGGTCGGCAGCATGATCTGGGGGACAGCCGGTGTCCCCTTTCTCATCGGATCATCTCTCGGTTTCGCGTTTGGTAGTTACCGCTGGTACGAAGTTGCGACCAGAGAAGCCATGGTTCAGCTGGAAATGTACCCCGCGCTGCTGCAGATGCACATCACGTCCAACTTTCCCTGGGTGCCGGAGCTGCACAGTAGAAAGCGGGATTGGTATACGGCTGAGACGTTTCGCAGATCTTGGGTTATGAAGAGCATGCTTGTTGTTGGTTGGCTTTCGGCTGAGTCGTCATTGCGTGAGATTCGTGAGCGGAGGGAGGCGAGATTAGTTGAGGAGTATGTCGCTGCTGAAGAGGAGTCAGAGTGAACGCTTCCACTAGCAGACAATGGCTTCGCTTGACTTACTTAAATTTTCGGGGCCCTTAGCTCATCAATAAATCGATATGAGACTGCCAATGTTCCTCTCCCACTTCTGACGCGGCATTCGGCAGGGCCAGCGCTGGTGGCCCGTGATTGGATACCACGCAAAGGGGAGGAAAGAAAACACAGGACCTTGATCCTAAGTGACAAAAGGACTTGAGTAATATAGTCTAAGTTTAGGATAACTTCTTGCATAGCCTAAGTTTAGGATAACTTTTTGCTGAGTTTATTTTCGCATCCCACAGTAAGGTTTGCTGTTTTCTTGGCCCCCCGCCCGAGGCCACGATAACGCGTCGACCACAACAACCCCGCTTTTGGGATGGCGTGTCTCCATAAGCTTGAACACTCTCTGAACAGAGGATTTGGACGGATCAACAAAAGAGCACGACGAGTATCAGTATCTAGTTCGAGTGAATAAGATAAAGATACGGACGGTACATCCACAGCAGAAATATCTCTATTTAGTCCGAGTGAGTCACCAACAAAATGCGCTTGAAACAGTAATCGCTGACATGTCTAGATCATCCATCACTGGGTCATCCACCACGATATCCATGACCGATTCTCAGCTTCAAAGCATGGCTTCCATAGCCCCAGCAGCCAAGTTGGCCGTCCTCATCGACGCAGACAACGCAAGCGCAGCCATGATAGCCTTTGTCCTCGCTGAGTTCGCAAAATACGGCACCACTTTCGTCAAGCGCGCTTACGGCGACTGGACCAGCAACCGCCTGAACGGCTGGAAGCCCCAGCTGCTTCAAAACTCCATCCATCCTATGCAACAGTTTGCATATACCTATGGAAAGAATGCCACAGACTCAGCCATGATCATTGACGCTATGGATTTGCTATACTCTAACAAATTCGATGGTTTCTGCATCGTATCGAGCGACAGCGATTTTACGCGTCTTGCGTCGAGGATTAGGGAGTCGGGATTGGTGGTTTATGGGTGTGGAGAGCGCAAGACGCCTAAACCTTTTGTTACGGCGTGTGATAAGTTCATTTACGTCGAGAATCTCGTGCCGAGATCTGGAACTCCATCGATTGAGCCTGATGTTGCGGGACCCTCAACTGCTAACCCACTCAATGGGGGGCCTCCGCGCGGCCATGCTCCAATCTCCGCATTTACCAAGGGTAAGGGTCCTTTGATGGACCCGCCTGCGCCTGCAAGAGGCTTGCTTCCTGAGCAACCGTCTCCATCAAATCGTGGACAAATCGCGCGTCTTCCTGAAAGGGTCGACTTCCAGAAGGATCACACTGAACAGCGGGCGAAGTCCAATGGTGAATCGCCGGCGGGACCAGCTTGGAATAGCACAACAAGCGGCAAGCGAAAGAGGCTCGATTCCGAATCCGACAGTCCCGCACGAACCAAACCTCGCGTATCATCCCCAGAACCAGGCGCGTTGGAACCTGAACAGCGGCCCGTAGATGATCAAGTCATAGATTGGCTTCGCGAAGCAGTTGAGGCGAGAACCGGTGAAGACGGCTGGGCCGGCCTTGCGCCTGTTGGAATGCTAATGAACAGATGGCATCCTGACTTTGATGTTCGCACGTATGGATTCAAGAAATTGCATGAGCTTATGGCCTCGACGGGGTTGTTTGAGTTTATGGATCAGCGTCCCGGGGAGGGCAAGCCGATTGTCAAGTATGCGAGGTATCTTATTGACAGGGAAGATGGGGGTTCGGTTTGAAGTGGCGAGTTAATAAGGCCCTGATCCAATCGATATCTTAAGGTAATTGCTGTAAAACTAATTACCTTAGGTAAGGTTAGAAAAAGGTTACTAAAATATAGGGCATTTTAGGTTAATTTTAGTGTACCGGGTTTTCTGCCACTTTGACAGAACAGGCGGCGCGTTTTCACTCTGTAGTTAACTCTGTATTAGTACGTGTCATCTCCACTTTTGCTTACCCGGGAAGATAGCTATTGATTGCCAAGGTTCCCTAAAGGCATCCGGCACTCCCTCTCTAGTCAACAACCCATATACTAAAGCTATTTCTACAGAGAGCTCCGTTGCTCCCTTAGCATCACGAAGGGTAAAAAGCATCTTATCACCATGTTTAATATAAGACTTTATCATATTTGATTGAATCTTCTGGTAGCCTGTTTGATTGCATACATTTTGTGGGCAGCAACAAGGATAAGTATACTACACTAAACTACTAAAGTTCTACAGCCCCTCCCCTCAGACCCCATATGTGCACTCTTTGTTCAGAGGTGTGAGGACAATTCGGCATTGATAACTTTATCAAAGTCAATACCAAAATCCTGCATCATTCTGATAGCAACAGGTCGGCCACCACCCCAAACACCTCCACCAGGGTGCATAAAAGGACCAGCGAGATAGAGACCTCTCACACCAGGAACACGATATTGTGCAAGAGCAGGCGTGGGACGGTTGACACCCATTTGATCCGCAGCCATAGAAATACCACAAATATCACCTCTCTGGAAACTAGGTGTATCAGAAACGTGGTCTGGAGGAGTGACAACCTCATAGGAGCGGATCATGTCAGGAGTGAAATCCTCAAGATACTCAGAAGCATACGCGAAGACTCTGTGGCAAAGATCATCTTTGATAGAGTCCCAATTATTCCACCCAACGCCGGCGATCTCGGATTTGAGCATAACCACGCAGTGCAGCAGAGACTTCCCGGGAGGAGCACGCGTAGAATCACGTTCGCTTGTACACGAGAGGCCAATCATGAACTTTTCAGGGATCTTTCCTTCAGCCATATCGTCGTAGCTCTTTATGAGATCCTCCATGTTACCGGGACAGACTGTGTTCATGACTGTACCGTTGGCCTCCTCTCCCGCTTTGAAACGTAGAGGGCGATCAAGAGCTGCATGGATAACGAACAGGGTGAACTCCGAAGACCGAGTTGCTTTGGCAGCAGCAGTAATGGCGGGATCAATTCCATCGACAAGCTGACCAAGCAAGTGAGGGTGAATCATGCCAATAACTGCCCTCTTCGCCTTTATCTCTCCAGCTCGAGTGCAGACACCTACAGCGCGGCCGTCCTCAGTAACGACTTTGGTGACTTCGGTGTTGAGACGGACTTCTCCACCATGGGCCTCAATGCAGCGGATGACAGATTGAGTAAAGGCTGTGCCGCCACCCTCAGGGACTGCGAGACCGTACTTCTCCATCAGGCCGAAAGCAAGATAGCCCATCAGCCCTGTGCCTTTGGTCTTAGGATGTGCTAGTTGGATCTCGGTTACAAACCGAAGAAGGGCGACCCTCAGCGACTTGTGGGTGAACCACTTGTCGATGACATCTATGGAACAGGCCTCGGAGGCGAATCCAATCTCAGCAAGGACCTCCTTGTCTTGGCAGTCTTGGAGCACAGTATCAGTAGGTGGCTCGAACATGCTCGGTAGAAGCGCATCAGCGATGCGAACGGCTATGTCCATGAATCGATCGTACGTTTGCGCATCCTCTATTGAAAACCTGGCGATGGACGCTTTTGACCGGGAACGATCCTGATACAGCGGAAGCACTTGGTCCTGCATGATGATTGCATAGCACGGATCGAGGGGCAAGTATTTAAGGCCAAACTTGGATAAGAGGCCAAGCTCGTCCTTTGCAATAAGTGGATTGCCCAGAATCATCTGGTGGATAGCACTGTGACGCTCACTGACATAGCCCTCCTCGGCCATGTGAAGGCTAGCCACGCCGCCACCAGGATAGCTTGCGCGCTCAAGAACAAGGACCTTTTGACCGGCGACTGCCATGTAGGCGGCAGCTAAAAGCCCATTGTGACCGGAGCCAATGGTAATTATGTCCCAATTTGATTCAGTGGCTGTGAGACGGCCTAACTTGGAGAAGCTCTGGGCAGTCTGTGCCATCTTAATGGGCAATGGACTGGGATAATTTAGAAGTTTGTGTGAATAAATGAGGTTAAGACGGTTACAAGACGGAAGAAGGATGGAAGCAAAACGTAGAAGGATGCCGATGACGACAAAGGATACTATACAGTGGAATCGCACTTATTTGTACGTCAACGTAAGCCATGGCTAAATATAAGTGATATCTGGCTGGCGCGCCGTGAGATCCACCACTTGGCCATGGATAGGACTGCCGTTATGGGGCCGATGTGTGACTAAACAAGCCGAATAAACTAAGCCAAGCTAGTCTCTAGCGTGTGGGGAAGAAAGACCACCAGTACAAATACCGTCCTCCCCCGCAAATTCCGACAACTAACATCAACCTCCAGACGAACATTACACCTCTACTCCGTACAGCTTCACTAACATTCCGATCTGAGTGGACACGAAATAGCTTTCCTCTCGGCTCCATCGCCAACATCGGTACCCGCCCAGCCAGCCCCCTTCTTTGCCGGCTCATCTACCGAACCAAAAAGGGTTTCGCCTAAATGTCTCTAACATGTACCGTTTGCAACACCCGGTTCCAGCGAGCAGAGCATCTTAATCGACATCTGTTACGTCATCGCGGCCTGCGGCCTTTCCAGTGCGCGATCTGCCATGCACAGTTCTCAAGGAGGTGAGGAGTATTCTGAATATCCTTCGCGTGCCTGTATTCTCAGGGGGTTGACATGGGTTGCCCTCGCAACTCGACCATGTCTGACCGACTAATGAAATGTTAGAGATTCTCTGAAGCGCCACGCCTTGAACCATTCTGATGCTTCCACAAGCTCAGAAGCGCCGGCTGACCCTCCTCCCCGTCGGGGGCGATATGCCGCTCGGGCTTGCAGTTCTTGCCGTCATTCCAAGCAGAAGTGCGATGGAAAGTTCCCGTGCCGCCGGTGCACAGCTAAGAAACAAGCATGTGTTTATCTACCCAACGAGAGGCATCAGAACACTCTCATTGGTGACACCTCCCCGCACACTGTTTCAGGCTCGGAGTCTGTAAACCAAGAGCATCCAGTGGTGAATGCCGATGTGGAGCTCCTTTCAAGCAATCAACAAAGTATAGAGGTGCGTCGCTGTCATGAACCTCTGTTACCTTGTCAGATTCTGATCAACTGGGCGCTGACGCTGTCATCATCTTCAAGGCAATTGAGTCGAGTTTTGAACCGACCCCCCCGCTACCTGAATGGAACCCAGAGGCATGGCTTACAAGCGACTCCGTATTCCAGGACATATTGCAAGACATCTCGTTCGTAAACGTGCCATGGCCATTTAATATCAGAGTCGGGGAAGTCGGAGCATCCGAACGTTCTGATAAGAATGATGCCTCTTGGGATCACCTTCTCATCCCGAACCTTTGTCCGACGGATCCTATTCCTCGAATCGACTTGCCCCAGTTTCTTGAAAATGCAGGTGAGTTGAACCCACTACCATTACTAGAACTATCCTCTATACTCACAACGTGCGTTTTAGAGAGTGGTTTGCATGAAGGAGTTTCGACATCTTGCGGACCAGGTGCTTCTGACAAGCCTTCCATTAACTGCCCATCTACTCTTGAGCCTCATTTGGCATGGACAGCAGAGAACGACATTTGCGACGCTGAGGACTTTGGGCATGTGCCTCGTATCTCGATGGATGTTTACAAAATCATCCGCACCAAATTTGAGGAACTAAATGGCGACAGTAGTACAAGCCAGCCATTTACACAAACCGAGTTCCCATCGTCAACTGCGTTGAACGCTTTTGTCCAGTCCTATTTCGAATATTTTCATCCTGGCTTCCCGATGCTGCATAAGCCCTCATTCGATCCAGGCTCCAACGAGTCAAGTTGGCTCCTAGTTCTCGCTGTTGCAACCACCGGCTGTCGGTTTTCTCTTGCTTCGTCGCCGCAAATTCTATTCTTACTACAAGAATCACTTCGAAGGTCAATTATTCGAATTGTAGGTACCAAATCCCACCACTGTGCTCAAGGTGCTGATCCCTGCAGCTTTATGTGGATTATGATGAATGTGTGATTCATAACTTGCCCTTAGCTCAAGCTGCAATCCTGAGCCAGGTAGGGATGATGTTTTCAAAACATCAAAAGTTTTCCGATTATGCGGAGAGTACTGCATGTCTTATCGCCACCATGTGTAGAAAGGCAAATTCCCACTCAGACTTTGAGCCTCGCCACGGCGGTGACACGAGTTCATCAGAGAAAGAAGCGACCGGGAATAGCAGCCTCAACAAGAGCTGGAAAGCTTGGGTCGCGGAGGAAAGCACCAGCAGGATGGTGTACTGTTGCCTCGTAAGTTTATCATAAGACAATCCCAAATATCAGTCTTGGTTTATTTTTATCTGTTCTCTCTTGTTTTGATCCTCTATGAATTGGCTGGGCTTGTTATATCTTATTGACCATGGAACAGCTTCTGGACTTCCAATTTAGCGCCCTTTTCGATTTGCCCGCTCTCATTGACATTGATTCTATCCACTTACCAATGCCATGCTCCGAGAATCTGTGGAATGCCGACACCGAAGAGTTGTGGCATAGTAATATGGCGCAAGAACCGAGTAAGGAAATTTTCCTAGAAGTAACCTTTGTTTGTTGTTAACGCTTACCTTTAGGAGAGAGTCTTATGACAACTATCCGACAAAGCCTGCAGTATCTATATGACAATAAGACAACCTCCCCTGGATTAGGTCGATTCGGTGCCCTGATACTAACATTTGCAATCTATCGCGACGAAATAGATTCAGAGGCAAAGTACAATTATCTAAGTATGGTACGGCCTGATGAGGCTCACCTGCAGTCCAACGGACCCCTTGACCAGCTGATATTCCAGCATAACCATACACTGAGCCTTTTTACAAAATTACCCCCAAGGCAACTCTTTGCCTTCTCCGGTTGGCGTACGACAGTTGCCCAACAGAAGAAGGCCGAGAAACACATTCGTGACTGGCTCTCCGAAGATATGGCAGGCAGTAGGCTCTGTCTTGTTCACGCTGCAAAGGTGTATAGTTCCGTCCGCAGCACTCGGACGTATGGACATCACGAAGTCATGGCCATTCTGCTGTCAACATTAGCCATCTGGAGCATATCATCAATCCATAGGGTAGTGAGCTCTTCCAGTTCCGACGAATCTCTTCCTACTTACCACGCGGCCTGCGCTCAGGATTCATCAGAAGCACTGGCCAAAAAGAGGACGATCCGACTTGACAAGACCCTCGACGGATCACTTCTTGCAGCATGGATCTCTGGTCAGGTTGATTTCAGGCCATATCTCGCAGGCATTGGGACACTCGACGATCAGGGGACAGTGAGAAGGCTCATTCGTGACAGCCTTCGGCAATTGATGTATTCGGTGACCTGGTGTCTCGGGCAGGCTGTCGCAGAGGTTCTGAAGACTCATTATCGAACCAAGACGGGTGATCTAGGTATCTCGCAGCTGTGACACTAGAGGTTTCTCCAAAAGGGTGGGGTCGTAAAGAATATCAGACGCGGCCTGAGAAACAATACCGATAGTGTCATTCTCATCAACAAAAACATGAATCCTGGCGGTGGCACGGTAGGATGGGCCCCGAAAGCTATCATCAGCAGAGAGAACTTAGTATATGGACAATATGAGTATGCTGTTATAAGAGTAGCACCCAGGACTATAGGAGACATGAAGATATATCTTTAATCAATCCACCAAGTCTACAAGTCTTAGCAAGCTCGGCTTCGACCAGAGCGATATCAACCATTACGAAGTCTATCTGTATTACAAATGAAGCTTAATATGAATCTCGTACATGTAAGTTCTTAATCAAAGCACAAAGATTATGCGTATTGAGGATAGATGACTCATTCTGGGTGCTAAAAGAATGATATTGCAAACTTTAACTATTAAATGACAATCTTGCCCATATAATGATAAATGCCGACAATAAATGCCGATCGGTATGTGGGGGAATACGAAACTCAACCTTGAATGTCGCATCACGTGGGGCGTTTGTAAAAAGTCTCTCCAAGCCTAATCAATACATTCGTTGCTTGGTTGTTTATTCCTAAATCCGTGTATGTAAATGCTCTCATTACTACATGCAAATGGCCTGCAGGAGCTGTCAGGTTTCATGTCTCAAGAATGATGAGCGGACAGGTTCTAACCTCAGTTGCATAAATTTAGTCCATACAGTAGACGTATCGATGTGATGAAACCACTTAAGTATTTCTCATACCAGTGACAACTTATAATCTGCCAGAGGGTCCATGCCATTTGCAGCCCATTCAGACAAAATATCTCCGAACTTTGGAGCAACGCTGGTAAAGAACTTCTTCTTCGCAACCTCATCCACAATCCGCTGTCCCTCTGAATCAGCATCTTTCCCATTCTGCTTCAGAAATAATGCAAAGCCCTGATTGAACTCAGCTGACGACGAGCCATTCAGATCATGTACAGTGTCTGTGTAAGTGACATCGGGGAAAATGACGCTGACGCCTATTCCGTGGGGTTTGAGAGCCACGGCCAAGCTTTGGCTCAGAGATATATCGGCAGATTTGCATATGCAATAGGGCAGCAGGTTGAGAGCAACAGTCGGTTCTGGCGTAAGACCATTGGGCGATGCCGTGTTTACAATCCATCCCGAGCCACGAGCGACCATCTTGGGAAGAAAAGCCTTGATGATGCGGATGTATCCGAAGACATTGACTTCCACTTGTCTCCTGAGACTCTCCAACTCTAGATCAAAAATTGATGCGCTCCGAATGAAGACGGCGTTGTTGTGGATGATGTCGGGAGTGCCAATTTCGCTCTCAACTCGGGCGGCGAAGGTGGCCACGGATTCATCATTGCTGACATCGCACTTGTAAGCGTACGCTTCAAGTCCAGATTTGCGTAGGGATTCCACGACAGGCATTTGGAGCTCTTCTTGGATGTCGGCCAAGATGACACGGGCACCAGCTTTTGCATATGCTAGAGCAACACCCTTTCCCAGCCCGTGCGCCGCTCCTGTCACAACGATGATCTTCCCGCGATAATCCATCGAAGTGAGTGGTGATGAATGAAGTATTGACAATAAACTTGTAGAGAAAGATGGGCAGTATTGGAGTCTTGCAAAGAACACTCCTTGAATTCGACTTATTATATCTGAAAGTGAAGTATTTGTACCTACGACCATCCTATTAGTTGACTGAAATTGGTTCGGCTGATCAGTTAGCGGGTTGTGGAGTAAGTCGGAATTTGCGGAGTATGGGAATCAGGGCTATCCCCGCATACCCCATCAAACCTCACCTGCCAGGCACCAGTTCGTCAAGTTTCCCAACAATACTCCATTCATAATATTATCAGTTACATAGATGGTTTTTGAGATGATATAGTGATGTGCCGTGGTTTCTTGCCGCTGTATCCCGCTGGATCTTACCGGCAGCTAAAATTGTCGGAGCCCTACAATACCCCGAGCCGGGGTCGCACCACCTCAGCGGCGGTCCGGGACTTGGCGAACCAGGTGGCAGCTATCCCAGCTATGCCATTCATAGCCTTTGCTACTATTCTAGCATAAATATTAGGCACTAATATGCGTTTGAGTATGCTTATAGGGCAGATATGGACTCCAGTGCTTTAACGGTCGCCGTGCTTGGTCCTAAAGGCCCATGCGCTGTCAAAGAAAGCCCTTCAAACCGTGGGAGCACCTCTCCTCCTTGCAGGAAATAAAAGGCAGCTTGAGGCACATGTTTCTAATATTGGATTTAAGATGGGCTATTCAAGTTATTAAAGGCACGAAGTCTCGTAAATACCATAGCTTTCGAGGTCTCTATAATTGTAGAGAATCATCCCGCCAGTTCAGCTCTCGCTGGATTAGGTGGCAACTCAGACTTTCCCGTGTCTTGCATCTCCGACGCCTCTACACTATGCACCTGCTTCACACCACTGGACGGCTTGCCATCTCCATCCAGCTCAGCCTTCTGATACCCTGATTCGGTAGTATGAGGAACTGCACCAGGAGGTCTCTTTGCCTTCTTGCCAATCAAAAAGCCAGCACCGAGACCGAGAAGGATAAGGCCAGCTACACCGACTCCCGCGCCAATGCCTGCCTTTGCACCTGTTGAGAGTCCACCATTACTTCCTGAAGATGAGCCCTCGCTACTTCCACTGGAAGAACTTCCGCCTTGTTTCGAACCCTGGTCTTCAAGATCTGCTTCGTCCGTCGGCGTGCTAGGTTTGCGTTCAGTGGTAGGCTTCGTATGGTTGCCAACGCACTTGTAAGATCCTTGGACAATGGTATTAAGGAAGTGTTCATCGAACCAAGAACAATCCATAGTCTTATCGCCTGCGAGATAGAAGTCTCCTGTAATGACCTCAAGACCAAAGAACTCGACGTTGGTGAAAGGTCCGGTCATGTTGATGTTATCAGCCTTCTTGAGCAAATTGGCCGTAAAGTTGAGAAGGCGGGGATTGTCGTGTATCTGCAAGTCCTTCACGTAGTTCAACCTCGGTACTGAAAGATCATTCAGTGCAATGTTCTCGTCGATGCCAAGCGTGCAGTTTGCCGTCCTGAGACTCGGAAGACTAAGCTCTGAGAAGAAGTTGGAAGTGAAGTTGAGCTTGCCCTTGAACCAATCAACATCATCGCCGTGAACCTCAGTCAGTAATGGTAGGCTGGCGTTGACGAGATCCCTGAAGATACCGCCAGCGTCGCCTCCGCTGGTATGGGTGGCAGAGTCACTGCGGCCTCCGAGCTTCTTGAGGTTCGGTACCGATAGATGTGTATCTCTTCCGTTCTCCTTGACGCGCAAGAGTCCGACTTCAGAGAGAGATAAAGAAATATAGTCGAGGTCCGAGTTACTCTTGATGTCGACCGTGTAATTCACAAACTTGAGATCATCCAGTTCGACACGCTCTAGTCCACTATTTCCGAAGATCATGATCTCGCGCTCGACCTTCTCCGCCGGGGAGGTGAAAAGTGCTCCCCCAGTGGCTTGAAAATCGACACCTGTGACGCCAATACTATAAGTATAAGTAAGGTTCAAGTACAAATTGCCCGCCGCCGATTGGCTTGATCCAGAACTGATCTGGAACCCTCTTGTTATGTTAAGCTTTGGATCCGTATTAATCGATATGTCACCCCATCCCCAATACGCACCCAGCCCATCGATTGTTCGCAGAGCAGGGAGCGTTATGTTTAGGTCTCCAGGTGTCTTGGTAGTCTTCCCACCGGCGCCGTACATCAGCAGGTCGCCGGTGACGTTCTTAAGGGTCGAGCTGTAGAATGTAACGTAGTCGTCTGGGAAGTCGTTGTTGTACGTGATGTCGCCGATGAGAGTTTCGACGCCAGTCATATTGATCGTCTTGGTAATATTGATGAGTTGTAGATCGCCGGTGTACGTTGGGCACGATGCTGCTAGGCTCGATACCTGGGTCGCTTCGGTGATTGTCGAAGTCTCCTCGTTGGAACAGGCTGGGAATTATTAGGGTCTCGCGACGCTCCAGAATATGCAACGACATACCAGCACTGACGTCTCCGATATGCCCAGATAGGCATAATGCCAGCCCGAAACTGGCCGCGTTTCTTAGACGAACCATTTCTTCCTCTTCGCTGTTGCAGATGTAATGAAAGAATGGGAACGAGGGATGCGCAATTGGGGGAAGGGGTCTTAAGACATTCCCAGTCTAGGGGAGGAAAAAAAACTCAGGACCTTGACCCTAAATGATAAAAATACTTGGGTAAATCTAGGCTAAACTTAGGGGACTCTGTGCTAAGCTTATTTTGACATCCTATAGTAAGGTCCGGTGTTTTCTTGCCCCCCCTGAGGCCAGTGCTTTCGCTTCAATCAGCCTTGAACAGTTTCAATTAAGCTTAAACAAGACTGTGGCGTTGACTAACTTTAGCCCGTGTGACTCGGTAGCCCAGGGTGCATCAGACAGAAGCAAAAACACGGGCCGTCAAATAAGCCTGAGTGGACGCTTCCCGTAAGTCGCATCTGTTGGAAAAGGTCAACGTCGATAGACTATAGGATAAAACCCATCGTCCAACTTTATTTCGTTTATTAACACAATTATCTCTTACTGTCCTGTTAGAATATGCAGAGAGCAAGTATTTGTGACTGCGGCTGTCTTGGCATTGCACCCCTGCTCAATGAGGCTTTTTGCGATAGCTTCCATTCGATCAACGTTTTCAGCTCAGACAACGTGGCTGGCTGTAAAATTAAAATGCCTCCCACCGTCAGTCTGACTGGTCCGTACCAGTGGAAGCAAGAAATAGCACACAAAAAAACAGATATCATGTTTCTCATCTCTCTCGACTACACAAGTGTAATAACAGGAAATTCATCCCTCACTTCGAGATCCAGTGGCCGTCCCAAAGCCTTTTCGTCAATAAACCCAAAACCCAGCCTCTCATACTCCTCTCCTCCATCGACCCTCTTTACCATTACCGCATGGTAAGAAGCCTCCTCATCCATTTCCTTAACCTTCAGCAATATAAGCGCAAAGAATTCCTTCCCTTCCAAACTCTTCACTATCTTCAGTGCCTCCTGCGGTGCATCATCAGCAGTAAAGTCAAAGTCGAACCGTGAATACGTCTCATCATGTGCTGTACGGATCGGAGGGTTGTTGTCATACGCAAACCCAGGCTTCATAGGATCCCAGTCTTTGACGTCGAGGTATAATCGCTCCATCGGCGCTTGGATCCGCAACATTCCACTTGTAACCTCACCGTGGATATTTGTGCCCTTGAGATCAATCTTGACGTCCAAAACTTTCGCAACTTCCTCGTAAGGTGTCCTGACCCCGAGGCCAGGAATTCCGTCCATGGATGCCCAGGACCAGGATGGTGCTCTATACTCTGAGACACGTCTACATCTGAGGCTTTGCCAGACCAGTCCTTCTAATAGTCTTGATCGCCACAGTCCAACGACGTACTCATCATCAAGGCGTTGGGCAAAGATACTCGCCAGACCGGAGATGGCAGGGAGTTTGTCCGACGCCTCTGTTAGTTTCCGAGGACCGTATATCCAGAGCAGACTACACCATGACTGATACAGGCTTGCTTTAGGGTCGTCTTCTTCTTCTTGTTCTTCATCGCCGGGCTCCTTTCTTTCGTCCTGTCCGTCTGGCATATCATGCACATTCACAAATCTCCAATCAAGAACCGTGCCATCCTCTCCTCGAAATCCCTCGCTACACTCAAAGAACATCTGCTGTTTTGTATAAAGCAAGTTTCGACACGGCAGCACTCGCTCTTGAAGGGCCCATGCCCGGTCGGAGAGTGGTTCATCTGGCAGGCTCACATAAGAACTGGCACCAGACTCATTGTCAATCGGAAGATTGAACGCCATGACTTCTCCACTGATGTCTCCGGATGTATACTCAAACGTCATGTACTCCCTTGGCTTTGTCTCGCTGAAGAGTCCTTCTGAATGATCCTTTGCTTTTGAGGCAGCGACAGTAAGGTAAGAGTTCGCGTAGATGGAGAGCATTTTTGCTGATTCGCGCTCCCAGTCGTCATAGTCGCCTTGACAGATACAGATGCTGTCGATCCAGAGATATCTAACCCCTAGTTCCCGTGCTAGTTTAATGACATCTTGATGCGTTTGTGACAGATCAGAGATGGTGATTTGACGTTTGCGTTCTTCGAGGGTTGCTTTGGTGGTTATGAATTGGGGCTCTTTTCCCCAACAGTAGCTGCAGAGCAAGTGTCAGTGAGTGTCGTCTATGTAATCGCTTGGGAAAAATACCTCAGGGATATGTATTTTCCACGTTCCTGTCCGTCCGTTTCCCGGAGTTTAGCAAATGGGCTGTTGACATCATCGCCCACGTCAACGACTCGACCTGGCAACAACGTGTCTCCGGGGCTGCATTTGGGATGCTTGTTGCATTCAGTAACCCACTCATGAACCCTTTTTATCGCCTTCGAAGTGCCGCCGTACTGCTCAACGGGTCGTCCGCGAATGATCTGGGCCAAAGGGCTACCTAGAAACATCAGTATCACTATTCCTTTGGGGTATACTCAATCTTACTATCTCCTACACAGAACCCAATTGCTGCCACAAGCCGTACAGTCCGTTTGTCGGAGTCCGTTGTGCTCATGACCCAAAACCCATCCCCTCCAACCTCTCTCTTGACAATCCACATCTCCCATAGCGGCCAGCCATACTTTGTTATCGTTCCTGCTTCCCACTGGGGCTTAAGCTCTTCAAGTTCCGCCTCACACAATTCGACCTGAGTGAGTATCAAGGAACAAATGCCGCATTGTTCATTATCCGCGGCTTTTCGTAGAGCATCCAGACTCTGATGATGTAGATAGCCTCGGCTGTCTTCGGGCCAATGGTGAAAGTCTTGGAGATATGGATATCCGCTGCTGGACGGCCAGGACTCAGGCGGGGCTGTGGAAAGGTTTTCCCACGGAACCTTTCTGCAAAGATCGCACAGAGTCATTTTGTAGTACTCTTGAAGTTGTGATTCGAGGTTTTGAGCAGGCAACAGCGTGAAGTTCGAATGTCAGACGAGATATGAGGAAATGCCTGAGGCATCAACTGATGATCCCTGCTTGACGACTGGGCTGGTCTTCTATCAGTTGGTTATTCAGACAAGGTAGCAACTATATATCCACATTGAAGAACACAGAAGGAAAAGTCTTTAACTGCTGCATCTCAGAAAAAATTCCATTATAGTATTCTTGCCAGTAGTGAGTTCGTAAAATTTCCCTTGGTTTCTACGTTAGCCAAGCTGCTCTGCCAAATTTCCTTAGCCACTCTAGCAGGATTTCGGTCCAGTTTACAGGTGACAAGTAATAAGCATAGCGCTATGATTGATTGAGATCCCACTTCTAGTTTTCTCAAACTCTTTAGGTACAAAGTATCTTTCTTATCATTAATGTATATTTTCCTTCCCCATTCTCGAAGTTGATCAATAGCTCAGGTTGTGGAGCCCCCACTTCCGGCTCAGGATAGATAAGTTGAGCAGAAAAAGATATAAAAGAATAAGTCACTTCTAAGAAAGCTAGAACCTCATGCTGAACAAGTTTTCTATCATAGGCGTTCCTCCATTTACCAGGAAGCCTCAAGGTTGTCTGCAAGCAGAATCAACGTCCGAAAACAGTGAGCTACCCTACACCTCTCTGATGAGGACGGAAGCTGACATTCCCCAGTGCCTCCATCTGACATAGAAGCAATCACTTCTGTTCTACACGCCTACGGAACGGCTCTGAAAGAACGAAATGCCAAGGAAACAGTCGAACTCTACACCAGCGATGGCGTCATAATGCCTCCCCACTTTAGCGCCAGCGCAGGAACCCAAGCTCTCAGCGAGACCTACGAACGCATCTTCAACAGCATCCAACTGACAATCACCTTTGACATCGATGAGATTGTTTTGATGTCGCCGGAATGGGCCTTCGCAAGGACAACAGCGGAGGGCACAAAAACTATGCTGCAGACTCAAGCTTCAGAACCTCATTCCAACCAAGAGTTGTTTATTCTGAAGAAGCAGGATGGAAGCTGGAAGATTGCGCGATATGCCTTTTCCACTATGAAACCGCTTGTACAGAATGGAATTCGACGTAGCTAAATAAGCGAGATGTCTTCCATTCGGAGGTACGGCCATGATCTGATTGGACGTCCTTAATAAAAATGTTATCACCGTCTAATGGTTGCCACAAATGTTTCCGATAAACACAATTCTCAGAGATTATCTCCAGAAATTCAAGGCTTGGGAGGACCCGCAGCTGATCCCCCTATCCCATCCCGTTTCATCCCATTCTTGGCAGTCTCGGACTCATCCGCGTATTCATCCCTGCATCACATCCCCAATGCTCAAAAACCGAGAAATTTTAAGTTCACCGATATACAAACGCTCCTAAAAATACGAGACGTAACAATAGGCGTAGTCTCTCGCGTCATTTACCAGCGGTGAACCATCTGTCAGCCCATGCCCTGAACTCTCAACTACCGGCCGAGCGTGCCCAATTCGGACCGGACCGAGAAGCTCCGCCGAACAATTCTTCCGTGGTGCGCTTACACCGATGGAATAATATTCCCCGAAGCTCTTGGTCCGCCTTGTTTCAGCGCCCGCTGAAACTATTAAGGACCTACTGTACCTACACCGAATGCCGAGGAAGCCGCAGCTATAAGATCACCGCAATGTCTGTTTGTTTCAAGCACGATGATCTTTGTCATTACTCATAAACTCTATCGACAATGTGGAAACTCCTTGTCAGCGGCTTTGTCGCCGTCGCGTCGCTCAGCGGCGTGAACGCTGCTTATCCTAACCCTGGTCCCGTCACCGGCGATACTCGTGTTCACGATCCTACCGTCGTCAAGACTCCCAGCGGTGGATACTTGTTGGCTCATACGGGAGATAACGTTTCCCTCAAGACATCTTCTGATCGAACGGCTTGGAAGGATGCAGGAGCTGTTTTCCCCAATGGTGCGCCTTGGACTACACAGTATACCAAGGGTGACAAGAACCTCTGGGCCCCTGACATTTCCTACCACAATGGCCAGTACTATCTGTACTACTCCGCCTCTTCCTTCGGTCAGCGCACTTCTGCCATTTTCCTCGCTACCAGCAAGACCGGCGCCTCCGGCTCATGGACCAACCAAGGCGTCGTCATCGAGTCCAACAACAACAACGACTACAACGCCATCGACGGTAATCTCTTCGTGGACTCCGACGGAAAATGGTGGCTATCCTTTGGCTCCTTCTGGTCCGGCATTAAGCTCATCCAACTTGACCCCAAGACCGGCAAGCGCACCGGATCAAGCATGTACTCCCTCGCCAAGCGCGACGCCTCTGTCGAAGGCGCTGTCGAGGCTCCCTTCATCACCAAGCGCGGAAGCACTTACTACCTCTGGGTGTCGTTCGATAAGTGCTGCCAGGGTGCTGCTAGCACTTACCGTGTCATGGTTGGACGGTCGAGCAGCATTACCGGTCCTTATGTTGACAAGGCCGGCAAGCAGATGATGTCTGGTGGAGGAACGGAGATTATGGCTAGTCATGGATCTATCCATGGACCGGGACATAATGCTGTCTTCACTGATAATGATGCCGATGTTCTTGTTTATCATTATTACAATAACGCTGGCACGGCGCTTTTGGGTATCAACTTGCTCAGATATGACAATGGCTGGCCTGTTGCTTACTAGGGAACTGAAAGGGAGATGGTTGATCCGTTGTGGCGATGAGCTGGAATCTATTGTCTGTGCATGAATTGCATCTGTAAATATTTCAACTTCTACATATATACTGCATGGCGTCTGCCACGAATAAACACATGAATCTGCAGCAACAAAACGTCTCTTATAATAGTGTACAGACCCTTGTGTCAATCATGGTGGGTATTAATGAGGCACCAGTTGTGTTTTTACAAAAAAGCGATGACTCGAGCGGCTATCTCAAGAGCGTTCTCCAGCCAGTTTCGCTCCCCGGACTCCCCTTCAACACTAGGGATGAACAGGAACCAAGCCGAGGATCGTCCCACCGCGTGACCAAAACGTGGTTTAGTCGCCCCACGATCTCGGCAGGTAGCATTGGAGGTTTACACGAGCCCAGCTAATTTACCCAATGACTCGAGCGCTTAAGCACCCCGCAACGCCGATCCCCCAGAGTCAATGCGGGGGAAGAATCTTGACTTTGCGCACGAATAGAATTACAGGAACGATTCGTTTACCCCATGGAGAAGCTGTTCGGTCCGTGACGGGCCGGAGAACTGGTAAATGAGTAATGGTTCCAGGAAATGGTGACGCTTGGCGATCTGTGACGATATATAGACCGTGTAAGTCGCCGTTGCTCGCGATGAAATGAACAGAGCAACATACCTTACGAATCTGCGTTGAGATATTATATAATGCGTCTTCTATCGTTCCCCAGCCATCTCCTCGTGGCTTTCCTGACCCTCAAAGAGGCTTCATCCCTCGCCCTTACAAAACGCGACAGCCCCGTCCTTCCTGGTCTCTGGGCGGACCCCAACATAGCCATCGTCGACAAGACGTACTACATCTTCCCTACCACTGACGGCTTCGAAGGCTGGGGCGGCAACGTCTTCTACTGGTGGAAATCACCAGATCTCGTATCATGGACAAAGAGCGAGAAGCCATTTCTTACCCTCAATGGTACCCATGGTAATGTTCCTTGGGCTACTGGCAATGCCTGGGCTCCTGCTTTCGCAGCGCGTGGGGGCAAGTATTATTTCTATCACAGTGGAAATAACCCCTCTGTGAGTGATGGGCATAAGAGTATTGGTGCAGCAGTGGCAAATCACCCCGAGGGGCCGTGGAAAGCGCAGGATAAGCCTATGATTAAGGGAACTTCCGATGAGGAGATTGTCAGCAACCAGGCTATCGATCCCGCTGCTTTCGAAGACCCCGAAACTGGAAAGTGGTATATCTACTGGGGAAATGGCGTGCCTATTGTCGCAGAGCTAAACGACGACATGGTCTCTCTCAAAGCAGGCTGGCACAAAATCACAGGACTCCAGAATTTTCGCGAAGGTCTTTTCGTCAACTATCGCAAAGGAACATACCACCTGACATATTCCATCGACGATACTGGCTCAGAGAATTATCGCGTTGGGTACGCTACAGCAGATAACCCCATTGGACCTTGGACATACCGTGGTGTTCTTCTGGAGAAGGATGAATCTAAGGGCATTCTTGCTACGGGACATAACTCCATCATCAACATTCCAGGAACGGATGAGTGGTATATCGCGTACCATCGATTCCATATTCCAGATGGAAATGGCTACAATAGGGAGACTACGATTGATAAGGTGCCCATTGATAAGGACACGGGATTGTTTGGAAAGGTTACGCCGACTTTGCAGAGTGTGGATCCTAGACCATTGTAGATCGAATAGCTGGCAATTTATTGAGTTGCATGTTGTACTATTTTGGTAATGCTTGATCCTACTTATTCTATCATACTCTGTAAATCCCGTTGCGTTTACAAGAATGATTTGGCTACAGTGTGAGCCTTGACTTTGCGTAAATTGATTGTATATATTTCCTTCTTTGAGGACTTATTGACACTTTGACACTCGTATCTTATGCATGTATCTTTGGGAAACTTTCCTCAGCAAACAAGAATGAGACCTGTTAGTCAAGGTATGCCTCGACGAGACCCATCGTGCTTGTGCTATTCCTATGAACCTTGACGACCTTGAACCTGGAATCTGCTTCTTTGAGCAGCTTCTCGAAATCACCCCTAGTCCGTTCCTTCGACCCAGCAACCACAAACATACACATATCGCACTGTCGCGATAGATGTTCCTGATACTTTGAAACCTCATTCAGCTCTGGCAAAACTTCCTCGTTGATCAGAAGAGGAGTGCCAGGTTTGCATTTCTCAAGCGCGGGGACAAGACCTCGAAGGATTTTGATGCAGTCTTCATCCCGCCAGTTATGAAGACACTGACGCATGAAGAAGGCGTTGGCGTCGGTGATAGGCTGATCCTTGAAGAAATCATGTAGCATGAACGACACCCTGTCTGCAATCTCGGATGGCAACTTAGCTTTCCCGTCATCAAGAGCTTCAGGGCTAACATCTTGAACGACAAAGCTCAGATTGGGGAATACGGCTGCCAGGTCCATGGAAACATGTCCACTTGCACCGCCAACATCAACGACCTTTCCAGGAGCTTCAAGCTTGTCCCAATGGAAACCATCGCGAAGTGCAGTGACCGAGCGGTCCGATTGAGTCAGCGCAGCCATAGCCTTGGCAAAGTTGAGGCCCTTCTCAGGCACATCGGCGTAGAACTGATATGGTGGCTTGCCATGACGTGTGGCGAATGGTGAATCAGCGTCTTTGGAGCCATTGAGATCATTTTGGACGAATTTGGCAGCGTCAGAAGCTGCTTTGAACATTTCGTCGAACTGCATCCAGAGAATGGCTTCCATGTCACTGTCCCGTGCGATGAGAGCAGAGCTAGCGGTGTGAGTGAATACATCTGGCTCGACTTCCTCAAAGACGCGTTGCGTTGCAAGATGCTTGATCACCCTACGACATCGACCTTCATCAATACCGGCCTTGGAAGCTAGGCCGGCAATACTGACTTTGCTGCCGAGAGGGACATGTCTGAAAAGTTTGAAATGAAGAGCAACTTGATATGCTGCGAGAGTGTAGTGGCTCATGTAAAAGGAGCGGTATTCATTGGCTGGGCCGTTGATAAGACGCAGAAGGTCTTGCGCTGCATCGTTGAGCTGAATCCTGGTGGAGTGAATATCGGCATCACCCTGGATGGCGTTGCTTTTCTGATCAAAGGACGGTTCCAGCTGCTTGGTGTCCTGTAGATGTTTCACGATAGTCTCCGTGGTCTGCTGAACAGTCTGTGCCAGTTGCAAGAGGTTGGAATGGTTTGCTGAAGCCATTTTTAAGAATTGATCGTGATAATCGTAAGATACTAAATGTTGTCTAAGATGCAATGTTAGATGGAAATCGATATAAAAACAATTATTATAGATTCTCTCTCCATGCCAAGACTACTATAGCTATATATACATGTTCTTCAGCCTGATATCCTCATTCCTGATTATGCTTCTGACAGGCGTCGCCAGCCATCTGACGTGAGG